CAGGACTGTGAATCTTGAACTTGCAGGAATTGCCTCAACCCCATGGTAGCTGCAGACTTGAATCACATCCCTAATATCTAACTGTATCTAAAACCTCCTTGTATTACTATATTGGTTTACTTTTACTCCTAAACATGTTTCCTTTATGAAATATACTTGCCATATTATTTATTTTAACGTTTATTGGCATTTACTTTCTGTGCATTTACCCAACAGTATGCCTCTGGAATGTTTAGATCTTCCTTAAATAGATTTAGCGTTTTTGCAGCCACCTACACATAAGAATAGTAATATAGAGATACATAGATAGAGATGCCTATAGATTCATAGAGATACATAGGTAGAAATACATAGATAGAGATAAGGAAAAGAATACAAGAGATCAGCAGCACTGAGATGCAACAAAGGATGAAAGCAGTTTTTCCCAAAAGAAACAAAACCAAAACATTGGCAGGTAATGATACACAGTGCTTTAGAAAACATTAAATCCTGCTAGGATTTACATCTTTTTTAACTTGCTAATTGTTTCTTTTACCTTTATTCTTGCTTTCTATAGATTTTGAATTTGTTTGTGAAAGGTAGAAAATATCCACTTAGGATCACTTTTGATCCCTGCACACTCTGTTTAGCGGTTTATTGTATTTGTTCAGACAATGCAAACATTAAAAGAGAACTAAAGCCAAACCTTTTTTAGACTTTAGTCCTCTTTAGGTTTGAAGGAGTAGATTTACTAATGTACGCCTGTGACCCAAACTCAGCATATAGAGGGAGCTGCAGCCGGGAAAGATCCCAACAATATTGTCTGCATCCACCCACCTCTCTAGAGCTGTGCCCATCCCCTTCTGTGTCTTCCCCTCACTGGAGGAACAGAGAGGGGAGGGGGAATCCCTGCAGGAAATGGAGACTGACAGTCACCACTCTCTGCAGGGAGAAGACAATGAACTGTGCAATCAGCGGTATGTGATCACTCAGCTCTTGATCTATAGAGCTGACGTGGCAGCTGCAGTGTCACGCACTGGCTCTAAGTAATGGGAAGAGTGCATTTTACTTTCCCAGTACTTTTCCTTTAAGACAAAATGTTGATCTTCAGTGTCAATGGTAAGTAGTAAAATTGACTAAAATGATTGAACCCTTTTGTAGAGAAGCATGATCTTTTAATTTAATATGCAGATCACACAGCTTTTTTCATGGAATTTTGGGAGATTTTTGTAGCAATGCATCACTCAATTTCTCTGAATTGACAACAGTTATAATTTCTTGCTGATAATCGCCTTGCTTGTTGTGAACTGCTGTAGTGTCTTTCTAGCATGTGGCATGGGACAGCCATTTTTGAGAATTTATTACCACAGCAGTGACTTTGTCTTTATAATGTTTTGTCTGTTCATCTGACAGGGAAATATGGAGCTTAATTGGATTAAATATTAAAAATATGCACAGTTTCAACATTTAGCAATATGAAAGCACAACAGCCCCTCAATAACTCTGCAATTAGACTGAAAAACACCCACATTGCCCACACTGTAAACTGTTTGTTTAATAACAATAATGTGATTTATTCTGGAGGATATCCGAATTTCTAAAATGACCCTGGCTTTAAGCCACTTTAATAAGCACTAACATGGAGAGCCTGCAGAGAGCTTTGAATAGCTAGATTAGGCATAGAAACATTATACAAATTAGAAGGGGGCTATTATGCATGCATAAAACATAGCATTCACTTCTTGCAAATGTTATTCTATTATCACTTTTTGCTTAGGAGTCAGCAGCGGCAAATTTAACTATCTTTGGCTTTGCACAATACTCAGGTCATGGATGTCTATATCCTCTAATAATTCATTTTACCTTAGTAAGGTATCCCATACTAACCCAGTTAAAGAGCATTTTCTGAAGAAGGCCCAAAAATATACTTTGGGGCTTCCATTCCAGCCTTATTTTGCGTGTTGTGAAGATTATAATTGCCCCAGTGATTTTAAATGTGAAGTACATGTTCTTTTTTTAAGAGATTGTTCTTATTATTAATTGCCCTCAAGTCAATGTCTGCTCCTGGCAACCATTTGGATAGTGTTTCTTCAGAATGTACTGTCTTCTTTTTGAGTCTTCAGTCTTTATAATGTCATGTTCATAATGTGTGTGACTACCCAGCCTTCTTATTGCTGGTCATGTACTTGTTTCCCCCCAATTTTTCATAGAACAGTTGTTTTTGCTCACAATATGTATACGATAAGGCAGCATCAGTTTAGCCATCTGGGCTTCTAGTGAAAGACTGGGGTTAATTGTTCAAGTTTGTTTAGTTTTTTACTCTTTAGTGATAGTGTAGACCAGGGGTGCCCATTAGGTTCTGCGCAATCTACCAGTCGATCGTGTAGCGATCACTGGTAGATCGAAATGTCCTGTCCTCCCGCCGTGGGGCTACTTTTCAGATCCCCGCTGCTCTCCCCCCATCTGTATGCAGCGGGGATCCAAGGAGAAGTGAGTGAAGCACTGCCGGCGGTGTGGGGGCGGAGGAGGGAGCCGCTGTCACTGAAGTAAGGCCGAGCTGTGCGGTGAGAGAGAGAGAGACGCTCTGCCAGGATATGACAGCCGGCACCTCTCTCTCTCCTCACCTCTCGGCCTTAGTTCTATGACAGTGGCTCCCTCTTCTGCTCCCACCGCGGCTGAACTGCTTCTTTCACTTCTCCTCGGATCCCGGGCAGATGCAGCGGGAAACCAGAGGAGAAGCTGAGCCCCCGTGTGCCGAGCGGCGGAGGATAGGTATATATCAGTGATCCTCTGTGCAGGACAAACACTGGTGCAGGACAAACACTGGAGTGATCAGCTTATCACTCCAATGTTTGTAAATAACTGGGGACACATAGTACTATATGTCCCCAGTTATGAATCAACAGGAAGTGATTTACATCACTTTCTGTTGATTCATAAGTTTCTCAATGGGGAGTAGCACTCTGTACAGAGGAGGACCCCATTCAGAAACTGGATGATAGTAAATAGTTTCTGAATGAATCGGACGCTTTCCATTCATTTAGAACAGAGGCTGCAGAAAAAGAGATTGAGGACTTTGTGTCCTCAATTTCTTTTTCTATTTCAAAAGGGAAATATCATGGGGCTGTTTAGTTATTTGATGAAAAGTAGGGCCAAGTGCAGGCCAAAGAAAAAAGATGCTTTTATAGCAGAACTTCAATCAAAAACAAAAAAGGCAAGAAGCACTTCTCATTGGTAAGCATGGTCAGGTGATTGTGCTGACCAATGAGTTAGTGTAATTTGAAATATCTAGTGCAGGGCTAAGAAGTTGTGTTTGGTGTACAGACCGTAAATCGGGAGCCGCTGAGGGGAAGCATTGTTCGTTTAAAGGTAAGAGCAGCAGGAGGGGGGAGAGTGGGCAGATTGGTGGGGGTAATTTTATTTTCCCAAATTTGACTGGGAAAGTATAATTAACCCATTAAATATCTGTAATATCAACTCATTCCTACATCTTAATACTTCATCTGCTTTGCAGGTACATTCTATCGCAGTCTAATGTTTTTAAATTTTAAGATAACCTGTGTATTATTATTATTAGTAGTAGTAGTAGTAGTATTATTAATATTATTAGTACTATTATATAAAATGGTTGTTTAAGAGAAAGTAAAATAGTTTTGGGGGATTTTGATGTTTTATATTTTTACTTCTGTAACATATTTATAAAAATCTTTACTTAATAAATAAACAAAATAAACATTTATTACAAGGCACATGCAACTCTACAACTGAGCTTTCTAGCAGACTGTGTTAATTCACTAGTTAAGAAGTTGCTACCTCTACCAAAAGAGGGGGAGAGTGGTGTACGCTTTCTGTGACTATTTTAGCTCTGATTTTAATGCATTTCCCAGACTTCAGGGAGGTCCTATGCATCTTACTTTAACAGGTATCTTACCATCCTACCTATCCTACTCCTTACTGGTAAACCCTTTAAGAATGTGTGACGAAGTAACTGCAGATGGCACAGCTCAGATAAATTATAAAACGATGTCACCAGCACAACGGAAATTTGTCTAAGCAAATATCTTTTATCGAGGCATTGAGGCATGTCACAAGAATGGCAAAGTTTTGGGGCTGTGCAGGAACTCTTCATCATTATACTGAGCCTGATGAAGGCTCCCTGCATGGCCCCGAAATGTTGCCAGATTTGTAACAATATGCCAATGTGTCAATAAAATAAGTTGCTTGGACAAATTTCCATTGTGCTTGGTGACATCCCGTTTCTTCACTATGCTGATTAGAGTGCCATCCACTTTGTTAATTTGATAACTATGAGAATAAAACAATGTCTAATAATGTTTAATATATATTTAAAAAATACAAATTCCTTGTAAACTCTGTGGTTATGTTTCTCCCTGTGAAAAGACCAGTCAGCATGCCTAGTAATTACCGTAAATAGGAAAGAATGGATGTCTGGTATTGGGCATTGTATGTACTGACAAAAGAAATAGATATTGTCAGAAGTATTCAATAAAATGGTGCAAACAGCTGTGGTCATGGATATTTGATGACCATTTCTCAAGTAGTTTTTGCCAGATTGAGGGAGAATCTAATGTGTATGGGGCAACCCTAGATCTTACCAGACATAGTTTACTTGGGATGCGGGTGGGGGATTGTTAAATATTCTGGCGGTTTCTGCTTTAGGGATGTGCTATTTAGAAAAAATGTTTGATGGCGGTATCTGTGGCCACATTTAGATAAAACAGTTACCTATCAGATTTCAGATATCTATTATCAGATCATTTAAAAGATTATATCTGCACTTTGTAGATTCATATTACATTGTACTGCCTAAATGAATATATTCACCCAGCTTCCAAGAGATTCCCTTTATTTTTTGCTAATGGTGCTATGAACATAGGGGTGGGTTTTTAGCTTGCAATGGTTTTCCTTTTTAATAAAATTTCATATTCTATATTTTTCATATTGTTGTAATTTTTTTAAGCATAAGGTATATTATGTGTCATGATTTTGTTTTCTTTAAGATATGTCTGATTGGAGACTGTGTTGGAGGAATTTTGGGTTTTGATGCTTTGTGCCACAGTGCAAAGACACCGGGGGAGAGTCAAAACACAAGCAGGAGAGGAAGTGCTAGCAGCATCCAGGTAACTTTCTTGCTATAACTACTTTAATTTCAGCTAAAGTATTTCTCGGTTTTGAAATAAAGACTTTCCTTCCTGTTATACCTAATGCCGTTTTTCAAAGTGTGCTAAACAATATGCTGTATGTTTAAAGGAGAACTATGGGGTTATGTCTTTTCCCTATAGTTCTCCTTAGGGTAACGGGAGGACACAAACTAGCATCCTCCCGTCACCCTAGGCTCAGTATACCGCTAGCTGCAGCTCGCTGTATACTGAGACGCCGCAGTATACTGCTCATGGTATACTGAGACGCCGCAGCTGATGCGGATCCCGACAATTGTGCCGGGATCCGCCCAGCTGCGTGACTGACAGCTGGCTCTGCCTATCTAAAGGCAGAGCCAGCTGTACCTGCCCCCTCCCCGTCCGTTCCGCCAGTCAGCGCTGGTGGATCGGAGCGGGGAGGGGGGAATCCAGCCCAACCCCTGTCACGGCAGAGAGCCGTGACAGGATCGAGAGGTGAGCAAACGCCGGTATGTGTTCGCTCACCTCCCGATCTACTGAGCCGACCTGTGACAGTCTCATTGTCACAGGTCGGCTAGAACTATGAGGTGAGTGAAAATCACTCACCTCATAGTTCTCCTTTTAATGAGTGAATTTTAAAGGTTGCTTTATGAACTGAAAATTATTCTGATTGAAACATTGATGCACCGGTATTTTATTCCTATCAACATGATGCATTGAAGTACAGTCAAGCCCCCTGTTCAAATACCCTCAGCAGTAAAACTCAAAGGGTTATTCCCAAAAGGTTTAAGAGTTTAGATTGGATAGTAATCTAACTGTGAGTATTTTCTTGAAGAGATTTGGACATTATTTTTGAATAGGGCTAGTCTTAGGTAGTCTCATGTAATGCCATATACAACATTTTAGCACTGTTTATCCCCCCACCCCAAGCCTTGAAAATGTTTTGTTTATGTTCATTGGAACCACAGCTACTGATTGGGACATCTCTGCATTGCAAAAGATGCCTCATTACTATGAAAATTGAATTTGGTTGACAAGGTAGGAGTATTTGTCAATGTTCAGGTGATCAATACTGATTATGAACTTCTCTAGGAGCATTTGTTTTCTAGATGCTAAAAATGTGCACAGGATGCCATAGAATACAAAGCTAATATGGCTAGAATGGCATCACATTTGTGGTTGCAATTTGCCACAAATGTGCTTTTTGTATTCATTTTCTTTTCTCCCTTTTTAAGGAGAGAGACTTTTGATGGGTTGATTTTTTTTCATCAAACAAACTAGAACAAGATTAGATAGTTATAGTAAGCTTGCATTGAGGGCCTGCATTAACTTTCTAACTGCATTTCATTTTGCGAGCATGGGTTGAAACTCAGTGGTGGTCAGTGGGAGCAAAACAAACATTTTGTGTCAGTAATCAGTTGGAGTAATAAATGCCCCTGCATCAGTGGTCAGTGGATACAAACCTTCCACCAGTGTCAATGACAGTATAAAAATGCCCCTACATACATAAGAATAAAATATTTCCATGGTGTCACTGGTCAGTGAGAGTAATAAATGCTTGTGTCAGAGGTCAGAATTGTGTCCTTGTGTCAGGGGTCAGAATTGTGTCCTTGTGTCAGTGGTGGGAATGGTGCCCCTGTGTTAGTGGTAAGACTGTTGCCCCTGTGGCAGTGCTATGAATGGTGTCCCCATAGCAGGGGTCAGAATTGTGCACCTGTGTCAGTGGTAGGAACGTTGCCCCTGTGTCAATGTTAGGAATGTTGCCCCTGTGTCAGTGGTAGGAATGTTGCCCCTGTGTCAATGGTAGGAATGTTGCCCCTGTGTCAATGGTAGGAATGTTGCCCCTGTGTCAATGGTAGGAATGATGCCCCTTTGTCAATGGGATGAATAGTGCCTCTGTGTCAGTGTCTTTCACATTACACAAGGAAACAAGACAGGGTGTCCCCCTATACCCAGTGCTGGTGGCTTTAGCCTTGGCACCCCTACCTATGCTCCTCTGAGTCAGTGAAGGGCCTGACTGTTGGTCCGTTGAAGAAGAAAATTTCCCTGTATGCAAATTATACTTTTCTACACCTAAATGATGCCTCCTCATCATGGCATGCGACTTTAAAGATTATTGACACTTTTTGTTCCTTCAGGTATAAATAGATAAATTGTGAGAAATCCCTGCTGTTTCCACTGGAACCCTTGGCAACGCCTCCATCCACCAATACCCCTCTAACCTGAGTCTCCTATTTAAAATACGTTAGGTAGAGATCCAGAGAGACCTATGTGAGCAAAAAATAGTGTTGTCCTATTGTTCGTCTGGGCTGGTAAGACTCTTAAGCTTGTTAAAACTGCTTTGCAGGTGCCTCTGAATAGAAGCGGCCTGGCTCTCGCTAGTTTTCAAAAAGACTGTTGACAACAATTCTGACCACTGTGTACTGCTGGTTTTTCCAACCAGTTGACATCCCTGCAGTAATCCTTGAGGCAGCGATCCTGAGATCTTACTCTGAGCTCTGTAATATAACTTTCCAGGGCCCTTGCTCTGATGCCAATATCACCAGACCAATGCAGACCACTTCTCTAGTTTGGAAAAAAGCAAGGGAAAAACACAAAATTGTTAACACCTTCTTATACCTTCTTGCAGTTGACACAAGCTATTCAGGTCCACCTCCGCTTGCCAATACCATCTGACACTATTAAAAATGTCCTGATCACAGAAAGGATGGCTATCACATACTAACAATCCAAAGCTGACCTGCCTCTTCCATAAGTTAAGGGAGGATATTACGGACCTAGGGGAAGAAAACTGGACTGAGGGTCAGCAACAGTATTTTCTTCTTATAATCTCCACATGTACAAGTTTGTACAACTACATTTCTTACACAATGCTTATTACACCCCACAAACACTTTCTACCATCCACCAAAAATATTTAGGTAACATCTTATAGATGCAAGGCTGTATTTGGCTCTTTTTTCACATAGTATGGACCTGTGGATTTAATAAGGTCTGGGTACAGGGATTGAAAGTGTAGGTCAATGTCTGTATAGTTTGCTTTGTTTTGCCATGTTCCTTCTCCTTCATTTACAAAATGTCTGTAGCCTGAAGTAGTATAATCCACAGGCTGTGCAATGTCCGATTTGTTCCTCCTCCTCCTCCATTTTTCCCCCTCAGAGAATTGATCAGATGTTTGCTCATACTGCATCTTCTGAAGTTGCGTTATAATTGTGTGTGTTTCTTATTTGTTATAAGCACTGACTCAGCTAACAATACCCTGCTACTACTATGCTGTCTTCCCACTGTAGAACATTATATTCATTTGAATGTATGACGTGCCATTTCATATGTCTCCTTTCTTATGTTGCCTGATGTACAAGGACTGACTGTTGTACCTTTTTTATATTTAACTTTTTATTTAAAAAAAAAAAACGAAAAAAACCCATTAACCTCTACTTGACTAAATCCCAGACAGAGCTTAAATTATTAACTCTCGAAAACCTTTTAAATAATGGGCCTTTTTTAATTGAATCAAATCCTTCACCTATTATTGTTTATGTCCCAACAACACAGTAATGATTTATTACAAACTTTTACTATTAACCCTATTTTAAGAGACTTCACCTAAAATGTATATATTGTCTAACCAGCAGTTTATCAAAAACTAATTTAAAAACTCCAATTTGATCATTTTGTGTGTAGCTTTCTAGCCTAAAAGTCCATTCTCCTTCCCTTTGGTTTAGGAGTTTAATTGGGTCTACAACTCTCTACTTTTCTAGGATCTCGACTGGGGTAACAGCTGCACTGAGCAGAGACAGTTTGACCCCTTCTTCCTTTTTTAACATTGTGTTACTGTTCTTCCAGCCACTTTGCTGAAATGCATTTAGTGCTACCCACATATTGCAATCCTCACCCACTTTCCAGGAGGTAAACACTTTCTTTGTGTCATATCCTTTTCTCTATTTAGAAAGGACCTTAACCCCTTGAGTATTATCCTGTATATATACAGTACCATCATTACCAGCCCATTTTTCTAATAGATAATTTGATATCACTGTACCCAAATGAATATCACAACATATGAAATGTTAAATCTTTTTTTTGAGACCGAACTTTCTTTTGGTGGTGTTAAGTATTTTTTTCAGTTTTTTACTATATAAAGGACGAAAGACCAACAATTTATTTTAAAAAGCCTAATGCTTTAATAACCTGTCAAATTTTTTAGGTCCCCAAAATTGTTTAATTTAGAAGATAGTGTATACAGTGCAGCAGTCAGAGTACAAGGGTCAGGACTATGTAATGCACAGAACAGTTTATAGATTTAAGTGATCAGAAGTTGGTTACCCCCTTATGGTGGTTGGTGGTGACTACCCCTTTACATTTTGATAGTAAATGGTATGTGCCCCCTTAAATTTTGGTAATCAATAGTGATTGTCCCATAACTGTTGGTGGTCAGTAGTGCTTTTCCTCATAACATTGGTGGTAAGTGTGCCCCCTTTATGGTCAATATTTCCTTTGTACCCCCTTGCTGTTCAGTGTGCCCCCCTTGCTTCTCAGTTTACCCCCCTTGCTGTCCAGTGTACCCCCTTTGCTGCTCAGTATACCCCCCTTTCATTGGTGGGTAGTGGGGGCAGTATTACTTCTATTACTTTAGATGCCAGCAGATAATCGGTGGAAGAAAAGGAAGGGGCTCTCAAATGTGAATACAAACAGTGTTTTCGTTTGTGATCACTGTGGTTGGCTATCACAGTGATCACAAGGCACAGAACCCCTGTGACTGGCTTTGTGGATTTTGCCTGTGATCTGAGCTGTCTTATGACAGATCGATCACAGGCATTCAATGGGCACACTATCTGTCAATGCCTATTTTCTTCAATGCGGTTTAAAAATGGCACTCCATAAATAAGCATCCACCTCTGTCATATGGTGTTCTTTATCATATGACAGTACTGAGTTGGTAAAAAGTTAACACAAAAGTTCAAATTATGTTATCTATGCTCAGCAATAATAGGGAAAGCAGG